CGTCATCAAGTGATAGCCCAAGAATACAATAAAACATGTCATTAGTACTCTCGTACCCTAATTTAATAACCCATTCTTTCAACTGAAAAAATGGTAACCTATCTAAAAGATACTTATCCACTCATGCTACATTACCTCTTACCCAAACTTTGTTAAGAATATACATAAATAACCAACCATGATAAAATCCAATAGTTTTGTTGGCATACCACTTCTGTAGCAAAATAAAATTTTGATTTTTTAGTGAAATTACAATTGATTTTGATTGAAGTTAAGTATAATAAATCCCCAAATGTTTTGAATAAAACTTACTAAACACTAACATTAACCTAAAACCAATTGCATCAACATTAAAGACTGAATTTTACATGCCTTATTTTATTGTTGAATCCAATGAAATACCTCTAAATCGTGCCCAAATTTCACTTCCTCTAAACTTAAAACCAATTTTACCTTCAAACCTAAATCTTGATCTCAATCACCAACTTAAACACATTTTTTTTGCCAATAATCAACTGATTTTGAGGATTGATTATTGAATAAAAAGTTTTTTTTTATGAAAATCATATTGATCGAAGGAAGTTTTGTTCATTTTTTGTTAACTATTCCATTACTTTTATTTATTGTTTATGACTTGTGTTATATGCATGATAATTTTGTTATTTTGCTTCTAACAGTGTTAAACCAGTGACAACAAAATAATTGTACAAGATGATTAAATATCACATTTTAAATTTCAAAAAACACTTTCAATTTAAGCTTAACTGTAAGGTATATTTTTTAAATTTATCCTTAATTAATTATATTATGATACCGTATTGGAGGTGGAATCCAGAAATCTTAACCCATGATCTTTGCTATCTAGCAGCCTTTTCTTGCTTGATCAGCACGTGGTCTTGACTAGAGTAGCATGAAAGGGCGGGCGTCTTATTTTCTAGTAAGCACGTTTCCTTTTTTTTTTTCATATTATTCGTTTTAGTCTCAACACTTATTTGATCTATCCAGAGTTTATGTTTGTTTATATGGAAAAGTCAGGTTATGGAGCTTTAAATATTTCAAGTTGGCTTCTGAAAATTCACAATTTTGTGCATTTTTTCCAACCTATGTAGCACCAGTCTTTATTTAAAAAAGCTCGCTAGTGTGACCGTGGAATGTGACAAAAATTCAAAGGCAATTGATATGACCCTAATCCAAAACATAAAATAATTTATTTTTACACCGTCGATATAAATTATAATATAATATATTTTATATTTTATATATATTTAATATAAAAATTTAAATTTAAAATTTGAAATTTGACATTATTTTTGTGCTCTTCTTCCTACTTGACTAACTGTAACAAGCTTTTTTCAAATTAATACTATTTGCTAGTTTGACTACGGAACTTTTGAAAAACAATTCAAAGGCAATTTTCTTTTAACTGACTCCGATTAATTAAATCAGGGTTGGATTTGCCCCCGTAAAAGATCTGGCACGCACAATTTATGTAGGTTGTAGGCCTTTTCTTTATCGACGAGACAATACCTTATCGACGAATTCTTCATTTGTATTAATTAATGTAAATTTTTTTTTAATTTTATGATTTGAGCTCTGATGTTATAATTGGTACCAAAATTAACACGTGTCACCTTATTATAAACTCATAATATATATGTGCTAATTGATTTTGGTTGGTCCATTATACATGTAAACCTTGGTTATGATTTGATCACAATGTGATACCCTAGTTGTACCATTATTGTTGAGGTAAGGTTTTTAGTATTTTGATTATATTAGGTAAAATAATTTTGATGTAATAATATTTTTTTTTGAATAAAGAAAATCTCTTTAAAAAAATTACAAAAGTATGCCTTGCAATACTTTTGTTTTGGTTTTTAAAAAGTGTCGAATTTAATTTTAAATAAATGTTTAATTATATAAAATATATTTTTCGATGCAATAAAAATCTTTTAATTTAAAGTCCGTTTGCATCTCACCGTATCTTCAGTAAAATTGATTCTTACCCTTTTCTTTCTTTTACTTTTTTATCCTTACAATTGCGCCGCCTCTTTTAATAGCCCTTGAATCCGGGAACTCATAAAGATGAAATGTCCATCTGGCCGCCAAAATCAAAGAATGATTTATTCTTACAATTGTATTATAAAAATAAAAATATCCTTCCATTTCAACACCTTTTTTTCATTTAAAAGTTTTAAAATAATTTTGTTAATGTTTGTATCAAGAAATAATTTTATTAATTTAATATAATAAAAATATTATATAATATATAATATATTACTATTTTATTCATTTTTCAATATTTACTTATAAATTATTATTTGACATAAAGTAATTTAATTTTTTTAAAAATTAATTAATTTTATAAGCATTAAATAATTTATTACATATAATTTTTAAATTGTTGCAGAAATTAACAAGAATCAAATTCATTCCAGCACTGGAAATTTATGTCAAACCTAACCTTTGTTTAAATTCTATGAAAATGAAATGAGATATTAGTAAAAGATAATGTATGATTACGTCAATATTGTGGATTAAGAAAACAGAGTAAAAAGAATATTACAAAGCATGTGATTTGGAAAATTCTTGCTTTAACTTTGATTTTTAGTGTTAGCGACTGTCAGTGTTAATAGTCAAATGCTGCGGCATGTTTTGGAAAGTCATGCTTAATGGGCTTGTTGAGACGTTGTTGCCAACAACCTTCATTCTAAACTATCGTGGTCAATGGTCAATAGGCGACTCTAGAGGCAGGCATGGGCATAGCTCCAAAATTTTTTTGATATCCTTGGCTCTCAAAATGTTTTGGAATTGTTATTTTTATTTTTATTCTCGTTTAATTTAATTTATAATTAACTTAATAATTGACCTTCGATATCATGATACTAGCTAGCTTCGCTCTCAATAGGGTGAATTTTTCAACTTTATATATATATATCATATATAATTTTTATATGCATTGCAACATTTGATATAATCAAATTAATTTAGGTAAATTAATTTATTTTAGGTTTCAATAAGAAGTGTTTAAGATTGTCGATGTCGCATGGACTCCTCATTTTCTACTTTGTTAAAAAAAAAATAACTTTTTTATTATTTGATAAAATGATATAAATTATGTGTTTATATTTAATGTAATGAGAAATTTTTTTAAAAAATTAAGTTTTTGTTTATTTATCTTAAAAACATATAAAGTGTTATGTAAATATTTAAATTTATATTTAATATATTATTAATATATCAATATTATATGTTATTAATGAATTACAGATAATATTTTATAAAAAAATAATTTTAAAATTGTTTTTATAAAATATCATTATGTGATTAAATAATGTATGATCATATATAGTCATACATCAAATATGAACCGTAAGATATTTTATCTAATCATTTAAAAATTATAAATTTTAATTTGGGTAAAAAAAAAAAAAAAAAAAAAACCTAGCTAAGTCACTCGAGAACCGTGAACCTCTTGACTTTTCAAAAGGCCAAAAAATTCTATCCAGCCACCATCGGTGACGAAATGACGACCGGCACCAAAGATTGGAAAAATCCTTTAGTAGAGGATGGTGGGTCAGGTCGACGTAAATTTTTTTTTTTAATTTGATTTAATTTTATAATTAAAAATTTTAACTTTGATTTAATTTAAATTTTTTTATTTTTTGTATTTAAATTCGATTTGATATGAAATTAATAAAATATTATTTTTTAAAATATAAATATATAATTATATAAATAAAAAATAAAAATAATTTTAATATAATATTAAATTAAATCAGATCAAATTTATCTAAAATTTAAATTTAATTTTTTTTAATAATATTTGATCCGATTTGATTCAATTTAAAATTTAAATTTTAAAAAATAAATTTATTTTAATCTAATCGAATTAAAATTCATCGAATTTGAATTGAACTGTAATCATAAATTTATGATACAGTTTAAAAATTTCTTTCTTCTTTTAAGTTTTCCGCAAAAGTGAAATTTTATATTCAACATTGGAAGAACGTAACACCTGTGAAACAGCTTCAAAGAAATTAAGTCTCACCAACCCTTACAAGAAATCAACCTGAAAAATTAAACTAGTACTACCAGTTTCCACCTACGATCGGCAGCCAAAAATGACTCACTGCTACGTAATATGCATACCTCGAAATAAAATTTAAAAAAAGAAAAAAGCAAAGGCCTGGAAACACGACCCCAATAAAGATAATTAAAAAGAGAGCCAAATGAATATTTGCAGCCTTTGGTTGTCTTTTTTGACAATAATGAAGCTAGCCAAACTGCCGCCTTCCCAATGTGGTAAAGGGGATTGGGCATGTGTAGATATTTTAAATTTTCAGCAATAAAAAATATATATTAATAATAATATGATTTATAGTGCTACTTATTTTTTATAATTAAATTTGTCTTGTTAATTGTTTTGATGGTATGAATTAATTGATGTGTGTTGAGGATGAAAGGATCTCGTATCATTCAGATTCAAAATTTGGGTTGTGAATTTTTTTTTTTTTTTTAAAAAAAGGATTGTGAATTATAAATAAAGGCTTACTTTGGTTCTGTCAAGATTTTAAAAAAAATAATAATAATAAAATCATGAGGACAAACTGTCCTGTCAAATCTCAAAATGGATAAAAAAATTCTTGTGTTTTTTTTTCTCAAACCTAAAAATTCGCCGAAATTCTCAGTTAATGGAGTCTTACTGCTGCACAATGATCAACCGTATTCTTCGAAGTATCACCAAAAAGAATGTTGCGTAATTGCACAAATTTTGTATTTTAGACGGTGTATTATTCTTTTTTATCACAGTGCATGTGGACCAATTGAATTCATCAGAGCATTGATATGGAACAACATTTGTCGGCCTAGGCACTTAGGCAGCAAGAAAGTCAATAAAAAAATCATTAAATATCTAAGGCTATTTTTTGTCTTGTTACCACCCAACTATATTTATACGTGCACAAAACACAGAACCTTACCATACTTGGACAGAAGATCTCTATACACTTACTAATTGAATCTGTAATGGATCTTCTTGATCTCTCAAATTTTAGTTATGTAGTACTGTTAGCCATTACAGTATTGTTTTTATACAAAAAACTCAAAAGGTCTAGTAATGGCAAAGCTGCACCCGAAGCAGGAGGTGCATGGCCAATAATTGGTCACCTCCCAATGTTAGGGGGACCATTGGCCGCTCATGTAACATTGGGAAACCTGGTTGATAAACATGGACCTGTCTACACGATCCGGCTAGGTGTTCATGAAGCCTTGGTGGTGAATTCAAGCGACGTAGCCAAGGAAATATTTACCACCAATGATATGGCTGTTTCGTCTCGTTCCAAAATGGCAGCAGCAGAACACTTGGGCTACAACTACGCCATGTTTGGGTTTTCTCCTTATGGACAATACTGGCGTGAAATGCGCAAAATAACAATGTTGGAGGTGCTTTCAAATCACAGGATCGATCAGCTCAAGAAAGTTTTTTTCTCGGAAATAGAAGGCGCAGTGAAAGATCTGTACAAGTTTTGGGATCACGAAAAGGACGACTCTGGACAGGTCTTCGTTGAGATGAAGAAACGGTTTTCGGACTTGACTTTGAACGTTATTCTTAGGACGGTTGCTGGGAAGAGGTACTCTGGTGTTGCGAAGGAAGACCAGAAAGTGGTGACACGATACCGAAAGGCGTTAAGGGATTTCTTCTACTTGACAGGCATATTTGTGTTGGGGGATGCAGTTCCTTTTCTCCGATGCCTGGATTTGGGTGGCTATGAAAAGTGGATGAAGAAAACTGCGAAAGAGTTGGACAATATTGCTGGGGGGTGGTTAGACGACCATAGGAGGAACGGACGTTGGGAAGAAACTAAAAAAGAGAAGGATTTCATGGATGTGATGAACTCTGCTCTTAAAGGTTCAGATCTTGCAGGTTATGATGCTGATACCATCAACAAAGCCACTTCCTTGGTATGAATTACGAATTTTTTTTCTCTTTTTTGATTTTATTTCCCTTATTAATCTGTTCTAAATACTAAAATTATATGAAACTTGCACATTGCAGAATATGATTTTAGCAGGCAGTGACACTACAACAGTTACCTTAATATGGGCACTTTCGCTATTGTTAAACAATCCTCATTTACTTAAAAAGGCTCAAGAAGAACTAGACATCCATGTAGGCAAGGACAGATTCGTGCAAGAATCTGACATCAGCAAATTGGTGTTCATTCAAGCCGTAATCAAAGAGACATTAAGAATGTATCCTCCCGCACCTCTCTCAGCACCCCGTGAGCTAAGTGAAAGCTGCTCTATTGGCGGCTATGAAGTCCCCGCAGGCACTCGGCTGATCGTGAACCTTCACAGGATCCAAAGAGACCCTAAAATATGGTCTGAACCATCAGAATTCAAGCCAGAGAGGTTCCTTACCACCCACAAAGATATTGATGTCAGGGGTCAACACTTTGAACTGATGCCCTTTGGCAGTGGTAGGAGAAGCTGTCCTGGAACATCTTTTGCACTCCACATGCTGTACTTGACACTGTCTAATTTCTTGCATGCTTTCAAATTCTCTACCCCATCCAATGGTTTGATTGACATGAGTGGCACAGTCGGATTGACCAACATGAAATCTACCCCAGTTGAAGCACTTGTCTCACCACGCCTTGCTGCTGAGCTTTATAAACCATAAATGCGGGTGAAGATTGCATGAATAAAGGATGAAGAACAGGAAGAGTCAGCATTTTGTTCTCGGATGTTAGTAGTTGTTTTATTATTGGGGCATTTGCCTCTGTTACTTACAACCCCCATCTTCGACAGTAATAATAGTAAAATGAATAAATAAAAGAATTACTGTTTTTATTTATTATCAGGTACCTTCAAGTCAAAATAGTATCAACTTTCATTAAGTCCCCAACTTTGGAAAAATCCAACATGAGAGCAGGCCTAAGAAAATGTGGGCAATCTTCAATCCAATACAAATATAGTTATATCTTCAATCCAATACGAATATAGTTATATTTGGCAAAGATTATGTGCAGCCTTCTTTGAACATATTGTACCCTACATGACTAGGAAGCCATGCATTCTGCTTTTTCCATTTTCTAATATTGGTCCAACAATTGAAAGATCGGCATAATCGTCTTTTTTATTTTTTAATTGATTGTGGTGTTTTATTCATCCAATAGGCCATGAATCATATTGTGCTATCAAATCATCTCTGAATAAGTTATACAAATAACAACAAATTGTAAATGCGAAAATAAAAAATTGCCAATTTGTATATTGTATGCGAAAAAATTATTGACAGCAACATATTGGATAGATCCTTTAACCTAAAACGCACGGCATTCAGTATATTATTAAAACCCTAATTTGGCCCATGCACTTTCCAGCCATAATTCATGTTGTTACACTCTGACCAAATAGTGTAAATTTGGGCATTCAAAGCTATCTTGAGGATAGCAATGAAGTTGTATCCAAGCAATTTCTCTTTGCGAATTTTCAATGTATAAGTATGTAAACTATAGCTAGACTTGATTTTAAGATTCACCACAAATCTTTTTTTTATTTAGATGTGATTAATAATCTAATTAAATTTATCTCACTTTAAAAAACAATCTCAAACTTAATTTAGATATTTTTAAAAGATAAATTCATATCTACAAAATCAAATCTAGGTCTAAGAGTATGATTACTTGTAAGAAAAGTTATAACACCTTCATAATGTCCATCAAAAGATGGTACTAATTTGATTTTATGTTATCCAACCCTTAGAACATGTTTATATTTTTACCAAATAATTCAATTATTAAAAATTGATATTAAAATTACTCCAATCTTTTGAAAAAATTTAAAATAATTTTCTCATCTTAAAAGCTTTTATAGAGATTCGTATCTCATTCTGAAAAAGCTCAATCACCGAATTCATTAACATATTTTCGAAGAAACTACTTTTGAAATCAAACAAAAAAATCCTCCAATCATTTAATAAGATTTGATATTAATACATATTTTCTAATTGTTTGATGAGATTTTATTTGAAAACTTTTTTATGAAATTTTTTTTAAAAAAAAGATCATTAAATCTTCTAATAATTTGATAAGATTTAACAAAAATTTGAATCCTTCAATCATTAGGTAAGATTGAAAAATTATTTTTTAAAAATTCATTAAGTGCTCAAATAATTTGATAGTACTTAATTCAAGGTTTAGATCCTTCAATTTTTTGGTAGGATTAAAAAATAATTTATTTTTGACAAAAATTTATTATGAAATTTTTTTATAGTTTGATAAAATTTGTAATTCAAAATTTAAATCTTTCAATTATTTGATAGGATCAAAAATAATTTGTTTTTTAATTGAATAAGATCCTTGAATAATTTAATAAGATTTATAATCAAGAACATTTTTTTTAAATCCACAAAAATCATCTAATAATTTGGTAAGATATTATAGATTAATTTTTTAAGAAATTTATTAAATGATGCATCCTAATTATACAGAAATTTAATTGGCACTTAATTTATTGAATCCCATTACAAAATTTTCATAAATAAATAAAAAGGATGTACATAATAAACTAAAGAAATAAAAAGAACCAAGTAAAAACAAGTGAGGAAGGAAAATACCAAAAACTTGGGTCCACCAACTTGATTCCGTTGGCCTGATTTGATTTAATTCAAAGCTTGAGCCTAGCCAAATTCTAGAATGGATCACTGGGCTTAAATAGGCTGCTATAGTCAATTTACCTCCCATATCCATCAGGCAAGGGTATCTCCAACCAATTGGGTCAATCATTCCTTCTGTGTTTAATTAAAATTCTCTACTTTCCTTATCATGAACCGCTAAGAGAGAACCTGAGTGCCCAATTTTCTTCGTTCTGCAGTACAAATCAGTCGGCCCTTTTTAAAGCAAATCAAACCGTCTCTGACTCTTAAGCCACAGTTGCTATGCTTGCCACTGATAGCACCATAAACTCAAGTACGCCACCTCTTCAATCTCCGTTTTCTACCGTCAGAAGCCTAAAAAAAATTCTAAGAAATTCTTCGGCCTTCCTCCACCATTTTAAAGCGCCTAGATTGGAATCCTTGGAAATATTTTCCCTGTTTGCTTATTCTCTATGTGAATTGTGCTTGCAAAGGCAATAGAAGACTCTGAAGCAAGTCTTTTTTTTTTTTTTTGGTCTCACTTGTCTCGAAAACCCAGCCCCAAGAACCCCCTTCAATTGAACCCTTGCTCTGGTGTTTTTATAGGGACCTGGTTTCAAAGAATTTTTTATCGAAACGAGTTTTAATTTCACTTCCATTGAAGTTCAGATTTTAATTCTAATCAAAAGCCTTTTAATTTGAAATAGTCCCATTCTAAACCAATTTGGTTTTACCCGAATTTCTTTTAAATAATAATAACTTTAAACTAAATAAAATATCAAAAATAAATAAAAATTTTAAAACGTTGTTTTAAAATATAAATTGATCTGGGATTAAATGGGATATCTACACAGATCTATCAATCCCACTACATTGTAGAATTTTACTCCAAACTAGTTTGGAGAAAAGACAACCAAAGAATAGGTGACCTCTGTCCTCAATACCCTCGTCACAAAGGATACAGGAGGCATTAGGGACAACACGCCATGTATAAAGCCTTTTGCAGGAGAGAAGTCTATCCAAGATAGCCATCCAAGCAATCAAGATTCAAGGCATGCATAGGAATTCAATATTGGAACCATAAGAGCCAAAAGCAACCATAAGAGCCTATCCCAAAATATCTTCGGACGCTTAGTTCGAAAGACATTGAAAGTACGGATTATATTGAAAATACCTAATTTAGAACCATCCACTTTACCTGATTATCAGTAGAATCAATGAAAAATGCGACAAGGCTCTTTAGTTTGAGAAGTCCCTTCCAGGCTCAACTACAAGAAGAAGATTCTTGGGATTTTCAGAAACTCTGCCATTTCAAAACGTAGGCCTTTCATCATGCTACCCAAAAGGATCCAGCTTGGGTGAGGACCAACCAAATTTGCTCAAGGATGAAAGCGTGATTCCAACATGAGAAATTTCGGGTAACAAAGAGATTCCCAGCTAATTGTAGCTCCTCTAGCATTGTCCTCCTTTTCTTTCCAAAAAAAAAAGAAAACTATAATTCTGTAATTTTTGCAATAACCTTCTTTGGAAGCAAGAAGATATTACGTTCCATGTTTTTAATTGTTGTCAAGTCATCTCCTTCTGCTACATTCTTTGTGCATTCCACGTACTCTGCCACCTCTACTGTTTTGATTGCTGCTAATGCTTCAATGGCAGTCACCTTAACTACAGAGTTTGCTGCCCTTCCTTGTCACATCATTGATTGTCCGGCGCTCCATCAAAATTAATTTTGAAGACACTTTACCGTGGAGGAATCCACCTTTGGATTTTGTCTTTATAATTAAGATTGTTAGAGACTGATTCATAATACTTAATTAACAAACTATATAACTGTAATCCAGGTTCGATTCCTTTTTGTTATTTGCTCAAGCCTCCTTGAATTTTTCTAGGAAAGATGAGCTTGTTGTGCAACTGACTCTTTGTTAGTAAAAATAAATAACAAAAGAAAAATAATATAAAAGAATTTTAGTTCTGAAGCGTAAAAAATATTTTTTTAAAAGCAATTATGAAAATTTTATATTTCATCTAAAAAAAGATACAAGAAAAGAAATTAACATGATTTAGAGATCAATATTAGAGAATGTTCAAGGTGTCAAAAGATTAATGTTTCTATGAATCAAAATATTAATTTTCATAAAGATTTTCGTTAGAGGTATGCATTTTGTTTTTTGCATAATTATTGGTATAAAAAATTGACTGAATGAGATAACAAGTTAACAATTTATTTCATTAGTATATAAAGTCAAAACACAATATGCAAAATATTGATTATATTGCATAAGTTTATGCATATACTAAAATTAATTCCACAAGTGAGTTTAATGAATTTTATTATATTTTTTTGAAAAATAGATGCTTATAAAGACTATGATAGAAAATAGCTTGAAAACATATAAGAGAAAGACATTAATTGATTTATGACCAAAAGAATTATCACTTGTTATCAAGTAACGAACTATATTAGATTTTAATGGAATGGTTAATTGTTTAATTGTTATATCTTTGTTATATATAAAACAAGCAAATTGTTCCATAGTTTATCTGAAAATAATCAAAAATGGGTAAAAGAATTTACCATAAGAAATTAGATGTAAGTAGAGAATATATATACAAAAATAAGATTTGGCTACAATATTAGTTTTATTATTAAATCATGGCACCAAATTTGAGATAATAAGTTGAGTCAAACTATTTGTATAATTCAATCTTTGTTGGTCATTTATAAATTAAATGTTGATATATATATATATATAATTTTTTTAAAATTTATTATTGGTTCAAAATTTGATTAGTGTTTAATTTTCATGAAAACCAATTAAAATTAAATTGATATATAAGAATAATTATTATTAAGATATGGTATTGCATAGATTAATTGGTGGATAACAAACCAAATAATGATTATTATCAGAAACTTGGGCAATGTGATATATATTTTACCTGCTAAGTGTATTACACTAGAAGTGATTTTACAAAATAAAATTTTATTGTGAACACTTACAAAGTGAAAATCATAAAAAACCATCAAAGAGTTAATCAACAGTTATAAAAAATAAAAAATAAAAAAAAACATTGTTGCTTTTCACATATGGGATATTAATTAAACGAAAAAGCATGCCATTAAAAAATATTGAAACATTTATCGATTTTAAAAGATGTTCATCAATGTCTAATTAGGCATTTATAAATTAGAAAAGAACATGCAAATTCAATGTCCAAAGGCACCAATACATGCATGTGTTTAATTCCACTTTGCGATGGCATAGAGAACATTGATACAGTTTATCATATATTATGAAAAATGAACTGAATGGGATGAAATTTTTTTTCTTGTACATATAAGAAAGATATGAACTATGGAGATAGAATGCCATTATCCAATTAATGCATTATTGGTTAAAGATAACGAAGGTATTTTTACTTTTTGTACCGAAAAAATGACATTTTACAAGCT